GGCAATGGAGCGTATACCACGCCCGTGATGCACCATGGGAGAACTGGCCAATGTTTTGGACTGGTGCTCACGTACGTCCTTCCCCCCCTTTTCCCAACCCCCTCACAAGCTACTAAACCAACGGGTGTGTAGGTCGGCTTCTCGGTCATGGCCTCTGCCTCGGGGAAGGTCTACCCCCTCCTCGGCCGGCCGCAAGACTCTTTGTCGACAAAACGTCACAAGATTGCGTATCCAGAGTATCTCGGCGTAACGTTTGATGCTTCCACCACCAACCTGAGCTATTCCATCCCCGCGGCGGGTGGAGAATCCTCGGTACTAGTTACGCTCTCGTTCCTGTCACCTATCACACCCTCCTCGACGATGAGACAGGCCATTCCGGCGGGGTACATGACTGTTTTTGTTGCGGGGTGCGACGACTTGGATTTGTACACGGATGTGAATGGGGAGTGGGTGACGGGGAACAGGGATAATACTTTGCGGTGGGAGATGTTTGAATCTCCTCCCGGGGAAGAAAAGGGGACAAAAAATGGGACAAAGACAGGAATAAAAACTTGGAAGGTGAGGAGGGAGAGGGAGGAGCTGCTGACCGAGTTTGGGGATCGGGCCGAGTGGGGGACTTTGCACTTTTCTGCCCCGGGAGGGGAGAACGGGGTGAGGTATCAGAGTGGGACTAGTGCTTTGCTGAGGGGGTTGTTTGCGGAGAGGGGGGAGCTGAGGGATGAGGTGGATGGGGAGTTCAGGAGGGTGATGGAGGATGAGCCGGTTTTTGCTTTTTCAAAGGGGTTCAAGTTGGCTGATGGGGGGAAGGGGAAGGAAAAGTGTGAGAAAAGGGAGGAGAGCGTGAGGTTTACGTGGGCGCTGGTGCAGGATCCGGTTGTGCAGTTTGCTAGTGCTAGGGGGTTGACGATGATGAGGCCGCTTTGGCAGAGTTTTTTTACCGATGCGGATGAATTAGTGGGTTGGCATTTTGATGACTTTGAGACTGCAGCAAAACTGGCGGGGGAGTATTCGGATGCGTTGGCACGGGATGCGTATGAGTCTGGGTCGAGGGAGTATCAGGATATTGCTGCGCTGAGCGCGAGGCAGGTGCTGGGGGCGACGCAGTTTTCGGGGACGCCCGAGGACCCGATTTTGTTTTTGAAGGAGATTTCGAGCAATGGGAATTTCCAGACGGTGGATGTGATCTTCCCGGCCTTTCCGTTCTTCCTGTATACCAACCCGAGGTGGTTGGCGTATCTGCTGGAGCCGCTGCTGGAGCACCAGCTGAGCGGGCAGTATCCAAACGACTATTCGATGCATGATCTGGGGGCGCATTTTCCGAACGCGACGGGGCATCCGGATGGGAGGGATGAGTATATGCCTGTGGAGGAGTGTGGGAATATGTTGATTATGGGGTTGGCGTTGGCGAATGCGCTGAGGTATGATACTGATCCTGCGTTTGTGAGGCCAAAGGGGGCGGAGGGGATGAGGACGGCTCCGGGAGCGAAGAGGTGGTGGGAGAGTGTGGATGAGTATGGGATTGATTTACCCAGAGGGGAGGCTAAGCTTGGCTCTACGCCCAAGGCGGCGGAGAAGTGGTTGTCGCGGTCTTACAAGCTTTGGAAGCAGTGGACAGGGTTACTTGGTCAGGGAGTCGCTTATTCCGCATAATCAGCTTTGCACGGATGACTTTGCGGGGTGGTTGGCGAACCAGACGAACTTGGCGCTGAAGGGGATTATTGGGATTAAAGCCATGAGCGAGATTGCGGATATTGTGGGCGAAAAGGAGGATGCAAAGTTTTATCGGGAGACGGCGGGGGAGTATATTGAGAAGTGGCAGGAGTATGGCATCTCGAGGGATGGGACCCATGCCAAGCTGGCGTACACTTGGTATGGATCGTGGACGACTATTTACAACCTGTATGCGGACTCGCTGTTGTGTTTCCATGTTTCGGACAAGAACAAATCTTCGGTGACAGGAGGGAGAAAGAGTGGGAAGCAGCCGAGGATGGAAAGTCAGATACCACTTGGACAACAGGCTTACCGGTCTGAAAAAGATGGGAACGTCTTTATCCCTGACAAGGTCTACCAGATGCAGAGCGATTGGTATCATGCGGTTCTGCAAAAGTATGGGCTGCCGTTGGATTCGAGGCACTTGTATACGAAGAGTGACTGGGAGTTTTTTGCGGCGGCGGTGACGGGACGGAAGACGAGGACGGAGATTCTGACGAGTGTGGCCAGGTGGGTGAATGAGACTGAGACTGGTAGGTTCTTCTCCTCTTTCCACTGCATGTGATGGTGTATTTGCTAACGTGGTGTTAGATCGTCCTTTTACGGACTTGTATGATACAGAGGGCAATGGAGGGTTCCCGGGGATTTGGTTCATGGCGAGACCGGTGGTTGGGGGGCACTTTGCCTTCTTGGCACTGGAGAGGGCATGCGGAGGCAAGGCTGTGGAGGCATTGAAGTTTTTGGATAAGAGGGAGCCTGGGGAGGTTGATGTTGAGTTGGTGCTGATGAGGGATCTTTCTACTGGTGAGCAGTATGATGATGAGGGGTGGGAGGACCTTTGAGGACCTGGGTTTAGTGTCTATGTGAGGGCATATGAAGACTGAAAAGGGCCATGATAGTATAGCTTCAAGCAGCTGTATGCAACATTCATTTCGGGTACAAAATTTGCGATCAAGGTGCGTGTTGCGGCATCCGCGCACGTGCTGCCGTTGTTTTAAGCTGCAGCTGTTCGAGCTTGCATGATAACACGCAGCCTCGTGATGCATGGAGCTCTGTGAGTGGTGATACAAGTTGGAGAGAAGAGTGGGAGAGAGGCGCTTGAGTTTGCTTTAGGTTGTCCAATCATGGAGAGGACAACTCTTTAATTTGCCACTCACTCTGTTGGCTGCTGTTGTTACTCTGACATCCCTCCTCCATGACCACCATCCATCACGAGGAGGCCTCAGCATCCTTATGCAAGTCTCAGGAAATCACGAGTCATGACACTTGCTATTCACGGTGTTGTTCTTGTCGGGTGAGGTGACTGTGGCCCTGTGCTTTCGAGATTGATAAGATCCGAGATCTGGGGTCGAGTGGAGAAGTTAATTCAAGACAAGCTCGCCCTGATTAGGCCATTCTTGGCTTAGTTCATGTTCACTTGCCCAGCCTAGATATGCAATTAGACCGTAACAACTAGAAGAGGGTGAGAGGCAAACATTGAACCGTTCGGTTGTTGCAACCGGCGGCCATTGTCGCCTCTTTTATTCACTCAGGATGTCTTAATTGGCACGCATGACCTCCTTCGTTCTTGCTGATTCGCTCTGGACCTTTATCTGTCCTAAAAATCCTTCCCCACTTTTGTTTGCGGAAAAACTCTGCTATCGATAACGAAGAGCAATTCACTTCCACAAGGCCTAACAAGGCGTAGAGAATACGAAATCCCCCCTTTGCGGCGACTCCAGGTCTTGGCAGTTTTGCACCCCAGGCAGCCAGGCTGCGCATTGATAATTTCCATTTTTTTTCAGAGCTCTTCCTGTCCCGTCATCCTTCCCTTCTGCGCGCTCTGGGCCGAACCAAACCTTCCCTCGCTCTCTTTTCTCTTCCCACCCCTCCCCCCCCAAAGCCAAAATCTCTCCGTCACCGAGAGTGCACCCAAACTCCACCAAAAATCTTGCAGCGGCCTTCTCTTATTTTCCCTTCGCAAGAACACAACCATATTCACATCCACTACACAAACAAGCACAAAGATGGCGACCACGTCGATGGACTACGAGAACGCCAATGGCGACCGTTTCGATGGTAAGTCGCTGCTGATATCAATCGATGTCGATCGCGTCTCGTGTGGCGCGCGTCGACCCTGGCTTCTTTTCCACTCCATCATTTCCGACTCGGATCGAGAGGAGCATCATCGCTGACGTTTTTCCCTCTCTTAACACAGACGAGGCTCCTCGCTACGAACGAGACCGCAGTGCTTCTCCTCGCCGCGACGATGGCCACGAGTCGCGTCGCCGCTCCATGTCGCCCAACGGTAACGACCGGTATGTTTGTCTCGATTTATTTAGACAAAACATTAGCTTCTCATCATCGTCTGGAGCCAACCCGCTAATTGATTTCGTCGTCCAACAGCGCCCCGGTTAAGAGTGATAACAACTCCCAGAAGGGTGAAGATGGTGCCGTCAACCCTGGCTCCAACCTCTTCGTCACCGGCATCCATCCTCGTCTCGAGGAGGCCGAGGTTACCCGTCTGTTCGAGAAGTATGGCGAGGTCGAGAAGTGCCAGATCATGAAGGATCCCCAGACTGGCGAGTCCCGTGGCTTTGGCTTCGTCAAGATGGTTACTTCCGAAATGGCTGAGGCTGCGATTGATGGCCTTCGTGGTGAGGTGATTGAGGGTCGCACTCTTTCTATTGAGAAGGCTCGTCGCGCCCGTCCTCGCACTCCCACCCCGGGCAAGTACTTCGGTCCTCCCAAGCGTGGTGAGTATCTAGTTCCTTCCATCACCTGTGTAACGATCAAGGCTAACTAGACCAGAAGATGGCCGTGGTCGTTTTGATGACCGTCGTCGTGGTGGCGGCTATGGCGGCGGTTATGGCGGCGGTGGTTACCGTGGTGGAGACGACTCGTACCGTGGCGGCTCTCACCGTGGTTATCGTGGGGATGACCGCGCTTACGACCGTGGGGCCCCTGATCGTGGATACGACCGCGGCTATGGTGGCGGCGGCGGCGGTGGCCGTGACTATCGCGATGACCGTGGCTACGGCCGTGATTACCGTGATGACCGCGGGTATGACCGCCGCGAGCGTGACGACAACTATGGTGGCCGTGGTGGCATTGACCGCTACGCCGGCCGTGATGATCGGGGCTATGGCGGCGGACGTGGTGGCGGTGATGACCGTCGGGGTGGTCCCAGCTACGACCGTGGTGACCGCGCTGACCGTGGCTACGATCGTCCGAGTGAGCGCGACTCCCGTCCTCGTGACGCCGCTCCTCCTGCCGCTGCCGGCTATGGCGACGCTGCTCCCCGCGGCGACAGCCGTGACCCCTACGGTAATGGACCTTGATCGCCCTCCCCTCGACAACCAGTTACTGACTCGTCCTCTCTAGGCGCTCGCTAAGTATCGGGCATCCCTTTTCTCTCTGGCATTTGACGTCTTCGCAGCACGGGATTTCTTTCCTTTTTCTTGTTTTTTCGCGTCTGGCACTGGGGAAAAATCGGATATCCTAAAACGCGATTCGGACAGCAGGAGTTTCGGCAATCTTGGAGGGTTAAACGGCCTCTGTTTATTCGGCACATCGTCTTGGCAGCCTCTGGGGTTCTAGATCTTTTTACTTCTTAGCCTTTCTCTGGGTTGCGACTTTCGACAGTTCCGAGGGTTGAGGGGTTGGGACTGGCACTCTCCGGTTTGCGGCAGCACTGGTCGACACTTGTTTTGGGGTGGGCCTACCCATTCGCCGTCATCCTATCGAGTTTCCGCTTGGATGACAGCCTCGCTTGTACTATCACTTTTTTTCCGCCTCTTTGCTACGGCTCATCGGCATCTCAATTTCGTGACGACTTTTGCAGCAGCGGCATAAAAGCACGGCGGCAGTTTTCAGACCGGGGGATTTCATTACGTAGTCGACATGATACGAAACACATCAACTTCAGCCAGCCAGCCAGCCTTGATCCGTGACACACCACAAACTAACAGCCTTTTTTTCCGACATGTAAATGCGTCCTTGCGATTACCATCACCATCTTCCTATTCCTGACACCTACACACCCACACAGCATAATACGCCCTTGACACACGTGCATTAAGTATCGCCATGGCCCCAGTGGTGCAAACGTGTTGGTTTTTTTTTGGGTTTTTTTTTATAAAAAAAAAAAAAAAACTTTCAAGTCAAGTGGCAACCCAAAGCGTCTTTGTTCGTCCCCGTGGATCCCTCGTTTTTGGCAATACCTCCATACTGCTGACTTGATTCCGTCGCCAAAAGGGCAGAGCAGGTAACCTATCGTGTCTCAAGCTGACGGAGCTAACTAGTTTATTTCTTTCCAGGTACGAAGCCCGTGTGGGCGGAGTTTATGCATGGGCCCGAGACATGTCTGTTTGGTTTGTTACACAGGCAAACGCCACGCTCTGCGGCCCGCCGGTGGTTGCCTGTCACGATGTCCTCGCTATCTGCATTCCAGTACCCGGTACACTTTGGCGAGCATGGAGGAAGCATTTGACCAACTGGTCAGCGGTGAGGCCGACGAGGGTTGATGGCGGTAGTTGGCGAGACATGCATGCATTGTTTCTGTGTCTGAGACATGGTAGCATGGGAGAAAAGACAATGGAAGGGCACGACTACACTATGGACGAGTGGAGGGGACTGTGGCTGAAGTTGGCTGGTTAATCCTCCATGCCGTTACCTTTGGTTCCGGACATTGAAGAGGGAAGGCTGTCTGTTTTCGGCGGGGATGGGATGGGGGTCAACAACAACCAAGTGGTTTACTGGTAGGGGCATTTTGCATTTTTCTCTCAGCCTCAAAAGTCAACAGTGGACGCAAATCCAAGGTCCACATACGTTTGTTTATTCTCTTCTTCTTTGTCTTTTTTTCTTTTTTTCTTATTTTCTTTTTTCGTTTTGAGGATTGGATTGGAAGAGCACAAGGTCAACATGGTGCTCTTGTTGTCATTGTCCATTCCGGCGTTAAGCTTTGGGCACTTTAAGATCAGCTCACTTGTGAGCTGGAGCTTTGGTTGTTGAACAAAGGGTTGATGTGAAAGAAGCAGTTTTGGAGCATGGCCGCTCGGACCACCAGTGGCTTTTTGTCCAGCCGTCTGCGTTCAGGGTATAGTACCTCGAAAAGAATTATAGAAAGCCAATAACATTGTTACTTGCTTACTATCTGCCTACTTTTTCTCTCAGTTAAACTGCTCGAGGCTTCTGTCTGTCCTGGTCTATCAATCACCTTGCTACTACTACTACTACTTGTCACCATGTCTTTTCTCCAATGGATGCGCCAGGCTCTGCAACAGCAGAACCAACAACCATGTGACCAACAGGATGATGAGTGCTGCAACGAAGAGTATTATGTCGAGGGGGGATACGACGAGGAACTGGAGCGGGAGGCGGGCAATGTCGGGTATGGGTACAGGGACTTTATCAGCAGCGACGACGACGACTCGGTGATGGCGAAGCCGGCCAGAAGGGCAACCAGGGCTCAGACAAGAGCTCAAGCTGCCGCTGCTGCGGCGGCGAGCGCTGCTCAAAACACTGGTACGGCTGGTCAGCAGCAGCAGCAGCAAACCGCTACAGGTCGGCTTCCTACCCCCCGACTTTGTCGTTGATGACAGTGAGATTGACGATGTAGCAGTCAGCGATGAGGAGTCGGAGGCGGTATACGAATCTCTTTCGTCTTCTCCTTCCTACTCGGGATCAGAAGAGGAGGTTGATCAGAGCCCTGCCCAGCCGGTTGTTGTTTCGAGCCCGAACACAGACGTTAGTCCTGACAACAGTGGCGGCGGGAGGGGGAAGACGCCTAGTGCTGCTTCGGGGGGGAGGAAGACGCCCACGCCTAGTGTTGTTGGGAGTGTTACCGGTCCCAAGACACCAC